GTGTAGTTCTTTAAAGAATCAGGGTGATGCATACATGTATCTGTATCCATCATGATTTAAGATTGGACCATTCTTCCTGGCTGTTTCTGTAGGAGTTTTGAAGTTTTTAAAAACATGGCATTATGCAATGATAGGATTGTTTTTAAAGCAGAATACACTTAACCCTGTGTCTGAGTCTCCTGCTTCTAATGACATTAGATGTCAGCTAAGCTGCACAAGGCAAGACTGCCTGTAGCTCGCCGATGACCCTGGTCCTGTCCTGGATGCCCTGGGGAAGGCGGGTGGGGGCAGAGCCTGGGCCTTTGCCTAAGCCCCATGGACTTTGCTCGTTGGCCTGATCACACTCAGTCAACCGCTCTGCCTGAGGTGGCTGTTTGCCCCAGGTTGGGATGAACTCTGGTTAACCTTTAATCTTCTAGAGAGAAAATCAAGATGATTGTTGCCAGATGATAGAAAGTGCTGGGACACCCCCCCCCCCCCCGTCTGTAGTCTTTGTCTCAGGCAGCTGGTACTGCTCTCGTTTCCCTTGTTTCATCTCTGTCCCCCACCGCAAATATCCAGTCATCCTTTGTTTTTCATAGGGGCAGGTGGGAGTTGATTTTGTTTTCTGAGATTGAAAACTCATTTTTGCTTAAGAAAGTCATGCAGGAGGTTTTAAAAAATGTTCCATTTTCTTCATGACCTGCCAACAGCTCCTGGCAGGCTGTGTAAAGCAGCCAGGCAGGTCATGGGGAGGGCCTTGGGAGCGTAGAAGCTGAGGTAGGGGTCCCTGTCCACCGCTAATGAGAGGAAACTAGGGCTGGGGCCGGCTCAGAGAGGGCAGGAAGGCGAGACGAGGCCTGTCACAGCACTGTCTGTGTCCGTGGCTGTACTGAGTTCACGCTCGTCCAGAACGCTCTGTGAGGAGCAGGGGAGAGGAGGCCTTCCCTCCGTGGTGCAGTTTTTAGTGAAGTGATAACCTAGCTCTGTGGGTGTGAGCAAGTTGCTGAGGGTAGCACAGTCTTAAATATGGTGCTTGTCAGGTACCACTGGATACGAAGTCATTTTATCAACAGACAGAGCCAAGATTTGACCTGAGTCTTTCTTACCCCATACCTAACCTGTGCTGCCTCTCTTTCCTTTCCTTTCTTTCTTTTAGTTAAGGTATAGTTAATTTATAGTATTGTGTTAATTTCAGGTGAAGAGCAAAGTGATTCAGGTTTATATATATTTTCAGATAATTTTCCTTTATAACTTATTACAAGATACTAAATATAATCCTCAGTGCTATGCAGTAAATCCTTGTTGTTTGTCTCATTGTGTATAGTGGTTTGTGTCTGTTTTCCCACACCCCTAATGTAGCTCCCCTTCCCTCTCTCCTTTGGTAACCGTATGTTTGTCTTCTGTGTCTGTGAGTCTGTTTTATGTATAGATTGATTTGTGTTACTTTTCAAACTCTACATACACATGATATATGATTGGTTCTTCTCTGCCTGACCTCACTTAGTGTAATGATCTCTCGGTTCATCCATGTTGCTGCAGATGGCACTATTTCATTCTTTTTCGTGCCTGAGGAGTAGTCCGTTGTGTAAATAGGCGGCATCTCCTTAAGCCAGTCGTTTGTTGGTGAGCACTTGGGTTGTTCCTGTGTCTTGGCTGTTGTAAAAAGGGCTGCAGCGAACATCGGGGTGCCTGTGTCTTCTCCAGATACGTGTGCAGAGTGGGACTGTGTGTTCTGTGGTAACAAACCTCCACACTGTTCTCCCTAGCAGCTGCACCGGTTCACATTCCCACCAGCAGTGTGGGAGGGATCGCTTTTCTCCACACACTCTCCAGCATTTGTTTTCTGTAGCCTTTTTGATGATATGTGCTGCCTTTCACCTTGCTAGGAAAAGAACCTAAAATGTTAACATTGTACATATCACAGTCCACTAGCATTCATTCAGCAAACGTTTGTCTAACCTTTATTGAACAGTGGGCAGGGAGACAATGAAAAGAATGAAAAACTGGGTTTTCAATGGTGGGTATCAGACGGTAATCCTTTTCTAAGGTGCATGGCCCCCCATGTGTTAACTTATTTCATCGAACCTTCAAGGCCAGGTGATGTCACTTCAGTAGCTGTGATACAGTTCTTTCTCCCTTTGCTTTAGATTTGAGTCCTGAGGGTGGTCTCTAAGAACACCTAAAAGATGTGATTTGACAAGCCACCTTGTGCTGTTTGTTGTTGTTGCTCAGTCGCTAAGTCATATCCGACTCTGCGGCCCGATGAACTGCAGCATGCTGAGCTTTTCTGTCCTCCTCTGTCTCCCGGAGTTTGCTCAAACTCGAGTCCATTGACTCGGTGACGCCATCCAACCATCTCATCCTCTGTCACCCACTTCCCCTTTTGCCTTCAGTCTTCCCCAGCATCAGGGTCTTTTTCAATGAGCTGGCTTTACACATCAGGTGGCCAAAGTATTGGAGCTTCAGCTTCAACATCAGTCCTTCCAGTGAACACCCAGGGCTGGTTTCCTTTAGGATGGACTGGTTTGATCTTCTTGCAGTCCAAGGGACTCTGAAGAATCTTCTCCAGACCACAGTTTAAAAGCATCAGTTCTTTGGTGCTCAGCCTTCTTTATGGTCCAGCCCTCACATCCATACATGACTACTGGAAAAACCATAACTTTGACTATGCACACCTTTGGTGGCAAAGTGATATCTCTCCTTTTTAATATGCTGTCTTGGTTTATCATAGCTTTCCCTCCAAGGAGCAAGCGTCTTTTAATTTCATGGCTATAGTCATTATCCGCAGTGATTTTGGAGCCTAAGAAAAGAAAATTTGTTACTATTTCCAGTTTTCCCCCTTGTATTTGCCATGAAGTGATGGAACCAGTTGCCATGATCTTAGTTTTTTGCATGTTGAGTTTCAAGCCAGCTTTTTCACTCTCCTCTCTTGCCCTCATCAGGAGGCTCTTCAGTCCCTCTTCACGCTCTGCTGTTAGGTGGTGTCACCTCCGCGCCTGAGGTCGCTGATGCTTCTCCTGGCGCTGTGTGTACAACATGGCAAGTGTTAAATCCACCTTCAGCAGCAGCAGCTGGGATCCACTGCTTTAGTCTGCTTTACTGGTCCTACCACCAGTTAGTTTTTTATGTAAAAACAAAAGAACAGATAAAGATAGGAAAAGCACCTAAAGGATGCTTTTTTTTCCCTTGTAATATTTTTAAGTACATCTGATCAGAAACAATGGGGACAGTTTCAGTGGCCCCTGTTACTGATGTAGCAGACTGTGGTTCTGCCCTGAGAGCGTGGGCAGGACAGGCTCCCAAGGGCTCCTGCATCGCAGCCAGCCTGTGTGTTCACTTGCCTAATGATCATATGACTGACTGGGGATCACGTGACTGAATGTGTGCACACACCACACACTCCGTACTCTGTTAAGGTAAATAATAGCGTCTGGAAACCTGTATGCTCGCAGAGACTATATAGCAGAAGTTGGAGGTGCGTTTATTGTTCATTCAGCAGATGTTTATAAAAAGGAGCCCATGAAGCACACCTCCAGGGCTGACCCTCAGTTGACTGTGGGTAGTTTTTGTCTCTTCCCCTCGCGTGTTCTTGACTTGAGCACATCTCTTTCCCTGGCTTTTGTCCTCTGACCTGTGGTCCACCCCCAGGGTCTAGAGTGCCTCGGGCAGCATTTAGGGTTCTCTCAGGCAGGCGTGCAGCCACCTGCTCTAGCAACCTTACTTTTCAAGGCTTTCTTTTCTTTTTAAAGAACCTTCCATCATTTTTCCGTTGTTTGGCGTAATTTACTCTGTTGTGAAGTAATAAGCAAGGGACATACTTTGAAGCATTTCATCCCCCAATTAGAAAAATCACCAGTTTCAACTTTGGGGACAAACAAGGGCCTTTATCATTTACTGACTCTCAGGTAAATTGGAATTTTACTCTATTCTGAGTGGAGTAACCAGTCAGTTTGTGAATATATTAGATGTAAAAAAAAAAAAACCCAGAAAATTAGTGCCTTACTATTAAAATGCACTACATGTAGTTACTGTCTGAATTAAACTGGGTCTTTTGTCAGTGGAAAAAAATCCTCCCTGGTATTAGAATATATGCTCATGAACTTTAATTCTTTCTCAGAGTTGATTTCTGTTTCCTACTTGGCGGTCAGTTATACCGCAGTTGGGAGGATGGTGTGGCGTAGCTGAATCGCATGCTGAGACTAGACGCCCTGACTCTCAGGCGTCTTCTGCTGGCTGTGTCACACTCAGCTTGTCCCCTCAGCTTGAGTCTGGTCGTTGCCCCTGGAAAGGGAGATCTGAGGGAAGGGCCTTAGGACTGGAAGGGGTGCGTGTTTCCTGCAATTCTGTGCTACCTGTGTTTTCCTTTCTGAGTTTGTCTTATTTTTGTAGTTGATAAGGAGAGTCACACCAGGAGTATTAGGAGGGTGGTCCTTTTACTGTTCTGGGAGAAAGCCTGGAAAGTGTAGAGGGGACGTGGACCCTCACTGGGGTGGCAGCTGGTGGAGTGTGAGTCTGTCAGTTTCCTCGTGTTCCCTCAGTGCTTGCACGCTGGCACTTGCCGCCTTTTGCTGGACTCAGTGCTGTTCATGGGATTTATCTCGTAGATTTTCTTTAACATAAAAGTAGGTTGCTTGCTTTTCAATCTGAGACTAAACCCCCATTTCATATTTCTTTTTATTTATAAATAATTATATTTTCAAGTACCAAAGTAATATTTGCTTATCATAGAAAATTTAAGTAGAACCTTGTTTTAAAAAAAAGAAAACCAGAATCATAACCTCACCATCCAGAAATAAGTACTGTGAGTATTTATTTGTTCAGCCACTTCTCTGTGAGATTTATATATGTAAGATCCATAACGAAATGACACTGTGTAACTGTTTTGTTCCTATCTTGTCTTTATCTTTATTCTCATGCATGGCAGGCCTGAAATACATATATAGTCAATATCAGTTCTGGCGCCCGTAGACTGTGCCCTGTCCCTGCTCTTGTTTACAGCCTCCTGTCTTGTTTTTCAGTGGATGAATACATCGCCATTGCCAAAGAGAAGCATGGATACAACATGGAGCAGGTAACCGTGTGGTTTTGTTGCTGGTAAAAATGGGCTTTGTAGCTCACCTGTCAGGTGTCTCACGTTCTGTGTGTGAGGCAGCACGGCCTCCTCATTAGCCATGTCTCGTGGTTCCTGGCCGTGCTCCAGGGGCTCTGACCCGCTTGTTACTGCCTGAGATGAGCAGCGGAGACCCTTGGCCTGGAGGGTCGGCAGCAGCTCTTAGTGGGTGCTTGGCACAGTGCTTTCTTACGTGAATATAGGATTTGTTTCTTGTTCCTGTGGTTTCCTGACTCATGTCACACTCAAACCTACTCAGACCCGTTTTAATTGTTTTGAATCATTTTTCAGGTTGTAAAATTTTACTCAGGTTTTAAGAATTGTTTGGAGCCAATTAATGAGAAAGCCACAATGTTAATTTTTCTCCAGAAACATGATATCTTATTTCAGCCTTATTTTTAGGTACAGTTTTTTTTCAGATTATCACCTTAAGTTGGATTAATACTTTCCTTTGTATTGATCTAGATTTTACAGCCTGTAAATAATTTTTTTTAATTTACCCTTATGCCCAAGGATACCACTAATTTTGGTTGCATAGACGTGGACCCTTTCTTTCTGCCATGGCCTCACTTTTGGTTATTTTACCTGGTAGAACTATTAGGGAAGCCAAGGAACTACAAGAAGGTAGTTCCAGAATCTTTCAAAGCAAGAAATGTATGTCTCTTTCTCCAAAACCTGCTCTTGAACCTCACAAAGCTGCTTAGAAAATCATTAATTTTTCATTTTGTTTAGAAAGTGTAACTATTATTGGGTGACTGCTAAGTGCACTTGTATGAAATTTGTGAGGATTTTATTCTCCCAAATTATGATTATTTCCACTTTAAAATAGAATTATGGGGAGTTTTCTTAGAAAAGTATTCCTGAATTCTCTTGTTTCTACTTTGTTCCTTACTCATTTGTTTTTTTTTTTTCCTTTTTGAGCTGAAACCCAAAACTCTTAATGTTTCAACTTTTTGGCCAAAGAAAAACAGTGGTGTGCTTTTTGAGTCACTTTCTCTTTCATGTCCACTGGCACTAGAGTGTGACCCTTTTACAAGTGCAGGTTCCAGAGCCCACTGCTTCTGCCATTGTCCACTGTAACCATCAGCAAGTTACTGGGTTTCTCAGGCCCCTGTATTCCAATTTGAGTCATGAGAAGAGGGGGACTTACCTTGTAGGGCCTGAGATGAACAAGTTAGTACACAGAAGGGCACGCAGCAGCAGTGTCTGTGAGTTCCCATGTGTGTTTGTCGGGGTGTAAAATATGCTCCCTTTTGCCAGCCTCATTCCCACGATGTTTTAGTCACGTTGTTGGTCTAAAAATTTCACTGGTACTATTTTTCTAGGCTCTTGGGATGCTCTTTTGGCATAAGCATAATATTGAAAAATCATTGGCTGATTTGCCCAACTTTACCCCCTTCCCAGATGAGTGGACTGTGGAAGATAAAGTCTTGTTTGAGCAAGCCTTTAGTTTTCACGGGAAAACTTTTCATAGAATCCAACAAATGGTGAGTAGGTGAGAGCACTGTGTGTGCGCCAGCCCCCATTCCCCTCCAGCACCCCGGGAGGGCTGTCCTCCTCCAGTATGAATGTCCTGTGTTAGTACAGCGGGAGCTGCTGGGTGGACGATGTGCCCCAGCCCAGCCCAGCTCTCGGGGTAGGACTGCCCAGAGTGTCCTGAGAGAAAGGGTCTCTGATGGTGAGTGGGTGAGGCGCAGCATCGGGGGCCCTGTCTCCCTGAGGAGTTCTGCTGATCTCTCACGTTTTAGAATGGTATTTGGTGGACTCCTACCATGAACGCTGACTGATGGTCACGTTAGTGCTCAAATGAATTCCTTAAAAAACAACCTAGAAGTTATGTTAGAAGCTTCAGCTGTGTGAAAACCCTGATTCATCTTAAAGTGACTCCAGTCTTTCATGGGCCAAGTTTCACTTGCAGTCAAAACTTCAGTCATTTGAAACCGTATCGATGAGGGTTCTTCTATGAATTCAGAGAAAAATGACTGTGACTTATAACATTTCTGAATATGTGAGCGTGATCCTTATGAAATATATGTACACACATTTGATCTTTAAAGATTAAACCTGAAGCAGCTCATCTCTTCCGTCCAGCTTCCTGATAAATCTATAGCAAGTCTGGTGAAGTTCTACTACTCTTGGAAGAAGACGAGGACTAAAACCAGTGTGATGGACCGCCACGCTCGGAGACAGAAGCGTGAGCGGGAGGAGAGGTCAGTAGGCGCGGGCGGTGCCCCAGCCCTCCAGGGAGCGCTGCCGGCCCCGGCATCTCTAGGAGCAGGTGGACACAGAGGAGAGGGAAGGGGCCAGTCTCCCCAGGGCCTTCAGGGTGGGCCCAAAGCTTACACAGAGGAGCTGCGCTCAGGGTGTTGCGTTCTGAAGGCATCTTTCCTCAGCACTCTGCAGTCACAGTGAATGAACTTCCCCACACGTTCCTCTCTTCCCCTTAGGGGTGTCTCCTTTAGCAAGAAGGAATCTCTCACTTCTGGGGTTGAAATTTACTCATGTACTTCTGCAGGATTCAGCTGACATGTTTTTATGTCTGATTTGTTAAACATCTGCAGTTTAGATTTCCTTCCTCCCTTTCTCGACCATCTGTTCTGTGTATGTGAGCGAGAGCGTGGGTAGGGGATCCTTTTATGACTTCTCTTTTTTAATTTATTTTTATTAATTTATTTTTCCCTTTATTTTTATCAGTCGGAGGCTAATTACTTTACAATATTGTATGATTTTTGCCATACATTGACATGAATCAGCCCTGGATTTACATGTGTTCCCCATCCTGAACCCCCTCCCACCTCCCTGTGACTTCTTTATAAGGAGCTTAGTTTTAAGGACGGCTCAGGGTGCGGGACACACCTCAGACACCACACCCTCAGCCTTCCGTACGGCAGAGGTGTGGACGCGGCTTGCGCTTGCCCACGGAAGTGAGTTCTGCTCTCAGTGAGAGGCCTGCTGGTGGGGTCCATGCACTCATTCCCAGGCCGCTGTCTCCTTAGGTCTGAAGACAAGACACAGAATGGGTTTTGTCTTAGTGGGAATATAGGTGGCTTTTAAAAATTATGTTTTCTATAATATATTACTTTTATAAATTAACAATGCAAAAATAAAATGAAGGAATAAAATAAACTCTATGATCTTCATGGCCCTGTCTCAGGAGAGTGTTTTATGATTTCAAATGAAAGGAATGACTTGTGGGGACAAGTCGATAATCGGGTGTCACTTCTGGAGAATTCTAAGGTCTGGGCACAAGTATAAAATGAGAGCAATGTGAAGAACATCTGCAGAGCTCTTTCCAGCTGTAAGATTCTGTGAAATTGTTGACCTTGACAGTCTGCATATTTTTTGGTCTGTATCACATGTAACTAGTGGGTCTATTTATGGATCAGTACTCCCTGTAACCAAAGAAAAGGAGCAAACTATTGAATTTGTTTTTAGTGTTACAGCAACTTTTGATTAACATTTTTTGTTTTTATTATACCTTAGGCTTAATTCACTCTTTGTGAACTTAATCTATTACTACAAACAGGTGCAGTTTACTAAGCTGAAATCAGAATTAAATCTAATAAAGAAAGATTGGGGTTGTCATCCTTGAGGGTGGAACCGTAACGGTTTGGCGGACGTGCCCGGGCTCTCACTTTGCGTCCGTCTTGGGGCGCTCCATCTGCCCTGGGCGCCGGCGCCACCGTCAGGAAGCAGACGGAGGGGGGCATGGGCCCCGGAAGACCCCAGGAGACGGCTGACTGTCTGGTGGGACCTGCCTGGGAAGGGAATGGCAGGGCCGGGGAGAGTCCCCTCCGCCCCAGCCCTTTCTGCTCTCAGCACCTTCCTCAGCCAGAACTGCTGACAGTGCAGGCCTGGGCAAGGGAGACGAGGACGGGGTGCCGGTGGGCATCCCACCGGGGCGGGCCCCTGAGACAAGGGGTGCTGACACTGGAAGCCCTGAGTGCTGTGCCGCCAGCCCCGCTCAGCTGGCTTAGCTGCGGGCAGACAAGCCAGGTGTCTGGCCTCTGGGAGCCTTCATGCTCATTTTTTTGTAAAGCTCCTACCTACCACAGAGCTTTTTTTTTTTTTTTAATACTTCATGGAAGAATATAAACAAAAGCATTTGAAGTTCAGTATCAGTGTGAGCGTTCTTTTTGAAGTTCACTTTGAGTTTTTCACACCACCAGAAACCTTCTCCAGTTCTCAGAATTGTGTAGCTGTGGGTACACAGATGGGACATGAGAATGAGTTTTTACTTGTGGGTGAATTTATTCTCAATATCATGAGCCTGTATTCTTGAATAATTTCTCAGTTATATCTAATGATCATGTCCTGGTTCTCTACTAGATAATTAAGGAGAATTAAAGTCTTAAATTTTATATTTTTAGTTGAGAGAAAACACTTTACAAATGTAAAGTGACAATGTTCTAAGCTTGGTTTGGGAGATAGAAACCTATTTCAATAGCTTTTTTAATCATTTAGACTAAAAGAACTATGGAGTTGGTATTTTATTTGAATTGTAAAAACATTTTTCTCAACATTTTGAAAACATATACTAGTTTTATATTAAATCAATTTATTGCTTATATTTGCATATTAAATAGAAGTAGCACAAAATAATCTTTCAGTAACTTGTTTTTGTCTTCCAGTGAGGATGAACTGGAAGAAACAAATGGAAATAACCCCGTTGACATGGAGATTGACCAAAACAAGGAAAGCAAAAAGGAGGTATTTTTTCCCCTAGTATTATTAAGACAAACAAATTTCATTTACTAGTTTCAAAGTAAAGCATTCTTTTTCCTTAGTCTACTTAATATGTTAAGTGCCATGTAGGAGACATCCCCAGTGGCTTTAGACAGTAAAAGCGTCTGCCTACAATGCCGGAGACCCAGGTTTGATCCCTGGGTTGGGAAGATCCCCTGGAGAAGGAAATGGCACCCCACTCCAGTATTCTTGCCTGGAAAATCCCATGGACAGAGGAGCCTGGCAGGCTACAGTCCATGGGGTCACAAAGAGTTGGACATGACTGAGCGACTTCACTTTCAGGAGACATCATGGTATGTATGAGTATGTATGTATGTATTAACCTTGCTTTATAGAACTTAAGAGTTTTGTTTGCCAAGAAATATAAGAAAGAAAGCCTTAAAGGGGAAAATGGCATTAATGAGAGGTTTTCTGTAGGGTAGCAGTCCTCACTGCCCTCTTTGCTGGGCGCTCGCTCAGCAGGTTAGGAAGGGGCCTCTTGCCCTCCTCTCAGCCCTGGACCTCCTTCCTCCTGTGGGCGCCCAGGGCCTGTGCCCTCTGGGTCATGGAGAAGCTTTAATCTCTCATGTTTTAAAAACCATGATGCCAGAGGTTTTTAGTCTCTCGATTCAAGAGGCCCATAAACCCCTACAATTATATATGACTTTGGGGGATATATTTATAGCATTTATTTATTATAAACTGTTCACTGAGAACAATGGGGTGTCTGGGTGATCTTAGCCTTTGAAATGGGGATGATAAACTTGAATTATTTTGCTGATTCATAACTGAATAAAGCACACATGGGGTCCCCAAGGACCCTCTGAGGACACCAGGCCTTGTCACCATGGCCCAGTGGAAACCCCCCACAATACAGACCTGCCTGCAGGTGGTCCTTGATGCGGCCCCCACCACCTGGGCAGAGGTCCCAAGCCCCCTGGTGTCTGTCCACTGGAGTCCCATTCAGGCTGGAGTGTGGAATCCCAGCGTGGGTATTACTTGTACATGTGTTTAAATAAGTGTCTGTAGTTTCATTAAAATCTAAAAGGTTTTCTGTCTCAGAAGGTACTGAACTATGAAAAAAACGACGAAAGAGTCTAGACATACCTAAACTAAAAATACACCAGTAATAAATTCTTTTTTATAGATATGTAGGAAATATAGCTAAACAAAAGGGAAAAAATGAAAGTGACTTATAATATCATCACCCTTTATCAGGGCTTCTGGATGGCTCAGCAGTAAAGAAGCTGCCTGCCAATGCAGGAGTGAAAGTGAAAGTCGCTCAGGCTTGTCTGACTCTTTGCGACTCCATGGACTATACGGTCCACGGAATTCTCCAGGCCAGAATACTGGAGTGGGCAGCCTTTCCCTTCTCCAGTGGATCTTCCCGACCCAGAATCTGACCCAGGGTCTCCTACACCACAGGCAGATTCTTTACCAGCTGAGCCACCAGGAAAACCTGCCAGTGCAGGGGGCATGGGTTTAACCCCTGGGTCAGGGAGATCCCCTGGAGGAGGAAATGGCAACCCACTCCAGTACTCTTGCCTAGAGAATCCCATGGACAGAGGAGCCTGGTGGGCTACAGTCCATGGGGATGCAGAGAGTCAGACACAACTGAAGTGACTGAGCATGTGCCCATTATCACTGTTAACATTTTGGTGACACTTTCCAGATGACCTCCTTTGTAAAATATATATGTGTGCCTGCTCAGTCATTTCAGTCATGTCCGACTCTTTGCCACCCTATGGACTGTAGCCTGCCAGGCTTCTCTGTCCACGAATTCTCCAAGCAAGAATACTAAAGTGGGTTGTTGTGCCATATATATAGTTCCCTGTGCTATATAGTAGGACCATGTTTTTGCATTAAATATATAGTAGCTTGCCTCTGCTAGTCCCAAACTCCCAATCCAACCTCCTCTCCCCCCAGCAACCACAAGTCTGTTCTGTATGTGATTCTGTTTGTTTCATAGACAGGGTCATTTGTGTTCTATTTTAGATTCCACATATAATAGGGTCATTTGTGTTCTATTTTAGATTCCACATATAAATGAAATCATGTGATACTTGTCTTTCTCTGTGTTGCTTCACTTAGTATGATATTCTCTCGTTGCATTCCTGTTGTGGCAGATAGCATTGTTTCCTTTCTTATGGCTGAGTAATTGTCTTCCGCTCTTCCCCAGTAGCAGGTTGGACACCTTCCATCCTGGGGAGGGTCTCATCTTTCGTTGTCATATCTTTTTGCCTTTTTATACTGTTCATGAGGTTCTCCTGGCTAGTATGCTGAGCTGGTGGTGGTTTGCCATTCCCTCCTCCAGTGGATCACATTTTGTCAGAACTCTCTGCTATGACCTGTCCGTCTTGGGTGGCCCTACACAGCATGGCTTGTAGCCTCATTGAGTTACACAAGCCCTTCACCATGATACGGCAGTGATTCCTATATATATGTGCCACACCTTTTTTTATCCATTCATCTTGTCAGCGGACACTTGGGTTGTCTCCATGTCTTGTCTATTGTGAACAGTGCTGCTGTGAACAGAGGGGTGCATGTATCTTTCGAATTACAGATTTGTCCTTATATATGCCCAGGAGTGGGATCACTGGATCATATGGCAACACCATTTTTAGGTTCTTGAGGAATGTCACTGCTAAACCTGGATATATTTTTATATCAAACATATTTGTATGCATAGCAGTATGTTTGTTATTCTATCATACAAATCTTTTATAATTGAGTTAATTTATACAGATTTTTAAGTCTTTTTCCCTATAATTAATGCTGAAATCTGATATCATAGCTACATATTTGTGCACTTAATTTTTTCCATTAGAATTAATTTCTGAAAGTTGAATTATTGAGTCAGAATGTTCTAGATATATTCTTAAGGCTTCTTTTGGCATAGTATATTATTATCAAATAGGAAACTGGTCATACCTTCTGGATGGCACTCTTACCAGTGGTCTATATGAGTGCCCAGATCATTTTAAGGATTAGTTAAATTACATTGTTTGCAAAATCAAATTGAACTTGCAGTTTTTAGTAAGCTTTGTTTTTGATGCATTGTTATTTATTAGGTATTCAGTGGAACATTTTAAATGAAAGAGAAGAGGCTTGGTTTTATATTAATTTCCATAATTCTTATTTACATAGCACAATTTCTAACTTGAAAATAAAAATTATTAGTTTCTTAGTGTGCTAAGATGTATGAAAACAGACTTGGTCAGTAGGTGATCTATACTGACCAGCACTGTGCTATTATAGAATATAGATTATTGCTGACTCAGATTTTTATGTGTTGTTTATTACCACTTGTTTGATAGCTTATTGCTACCATCATAGTCTGTATGGTCTTTTTATCTGTCTTAACATGTGAAGCAACAAGCTTGAATGTATTTTCAGCTTTACCAGCCAGTGTTAATAGACTAACAAGATGAGATTATAATTAGTTAACCTAAACTTCTTGTTAAGATGGTTACCAATAAGATGATATCCTTTCCTTGCCAAGATGTGAGTGCATTTCATTTCCAAAGGTTTTGGTTTTAGAAAGAGCATTTTTAAAAATAAGCAGCAGTCACACATTTCTAAATGACAGGTTATAGTTTTTGAAGCAGGTTACATGCCATGAAAAGTGTGTCATCCCAAAAAGGGGGTATATAAACAAGTTTCATATTGAAGTTTTTATTTTTATAACCTTCTATAAAGATTTAAAGAATTTAAATAGATCCTTATACATGTGCTGAATCATTTTTTTTTTCTTTCTGTGGCCATATGTCTGTCTACATTGCTAGGGACTGTTAGGATGAAATCATTCTTTATTCGTATATACACAGCTCACCAGAAGGGAGCACAGGTTATTTTTTTCCCTCTATTCCTCCCAGAAGCTGGGAAGCTGGGAATGCTTCTTGTCAGAGGTTTATAGAATAAAGATGTGTCTGTAAAGAAAGGAAGTGGAGTCCACTTTGAGTTGTTTATTTAGCTAGTGTTCTTTGTCTATTAACTGTGTTTTAGAATTTGTGGATGGTTATTTTGGTGTGGCATGGTATTTGTCTTAGATTGTTCGGAGCCATGTTAAAATATGCTTATTGCTATTCATTTGGCATTTTAATTTTTTCAGTTATTTATCAAATATGTGTACCATGCAGGTGCCCCCTACTGAGACGATTCCTCAGATCAAAAAGGAAAAACATAGTACTCAAGCTAAAAATAGAGCAAAAAGGAAACCTCCAAAAGGAATGTTTCTTTCTCAAGAAGACGTGGAGGCTGTTTCTGCCAATGCCACTGCTGCTACCACGGTGCTGAGACAACTGGACCTGGAGCTGGTGTCAATTAAACGACAGGTGCCATGCACCCCATCCTGGCGAAGAGTGCCTTGCAGTGCAGCCGTGCTCTCGCTGCTCACTCACTTCACAAATCTCAGAGGGGTGTTCTGTTTCTAAGGAATTGGACAGAGGCTCTTAAGCCCGTTGATTTTTTTTTTCTCCTAACTTAACCATGAAATTGAAATTTTACATATCTGTATCGATCTAGATACTGATCTCAGTGATTTTCATAACATGAACACACCCACGTTGCCCCTGTCTGGTCAAGACCTGGAACCTGGTGATCTCCGGCACCCCATTCATCTCCCCTTAGTCCCTGCTCCTGTTTCACTTTGAGTTTGGGTTGTCTCCCCTTGTCGGCTGTTAACACTGGATACAGACAGGAACGTGGCTGATGTGCCTCTCGGTGCGTTGTGTGTGTGCTTGTTGGAGACACCCCTCGGTGCGGTTGCCAGGTGGTTAAGCGTGCGCCTGTCCAGCACTAGAGCACTGTCTCCCAGGATGGTTGTGCTGCTGTGTGTGAGTGTTGGCTGCACCACTGCAGGATTTCCTGATCGTAGCGCAGCTGACTTTTGGGGCCAGATAACTCTTCTTGCGGGGAGTTGTTCTGTGTCTTGCAGGACATTAGCAGCAGCTTTGGCTTCCACCCACTGGACACCAGCAGCACCTCCCCCCACTGCTCTGTTGTGACCATGTTGTGGAATTACGGGGCTGGCAGGGGGTTGTCTCACGTTCCCATTTGGAGGCCTGCCTTTTCACTCACTCAGTGGTATCTTTTTTTTTTTTCCCCCTTAGTATTTGTTTATTTGGCTGCACCAGGTCTTAGTTGTGGCATGCGAATTCTTAGGTGCAGCTGTGAGATCTAGTTCCCTTACCAGGGGTCGAACCTGGATCTCCTGCATTGAGAGTGCAGAATCTTAGCCACTGGACTGCCCCCAGTCCCTCCTAGTGGTATCTTTGATGAACTGATGCTCTTCATTTTGAGGTGGTCCAGTTTCTTGTTCTTGTCTTGTGTGGTGGGTGCTCTCAAGTTCTGTTAGGAACCCTTCCTGAGGTCATGACGCACTGTGTTACAAGCTTTGTTTTGCCTTTTGATCTTCAGTTTACCTGGCGTGTTTTTCTTTGTTGTTACGTGTAGGGTTGTTTTTTTTTTTTCACATGACTATCTAGTTTACCAAGCACTATTCATTAAAGACTGCCCTCTTCCTGTCAGAAGGCAGTGGGACCTTTGTTTTAAATCTAGTGTCCATCGTGTGTATGGGTCGCGTTTGGAGCTGTGTTTGTCCTTTCTTCACCAGCACCGCGTGGTCCTGACGACACAGGTTATAAATGGCGCTTCGTGGTAGGGGAGTCTTCCATCATTGTCGTGGATCCCTGCCCTTGTTTCCATATAAAACTTAGAATCACCTTCTCAATTTCCAGAAAAGTAACTCTAGTAGAGTTTTGATTGGGATGGTGTTGAATCTATAGATCAAGATAGAGAGTTAACATCTTCTTACCCAGGAACGTGATTTGTCCCTGCACTTCTGTGATCTTGTTTCTTCCAGAATTTTGTGGTTCTTGGTGGGAACAAGTCTTCGGTTTCCTTCATTAGAGTTACTCCTACATGTTTGGTACTTTTTTGGTGCTCTTGTAAAGAATAGTGCTTCTAAAATGAATCCTTTCCTGATTATTTGTGCCTCGTGCGGGAAATGACTCATCCTTTTGGTCTGATTTTGCACAGAAGTCAAACTGAAAAGTCAGCCGAGTAGCCCAGTGTTGTCCTTGCCTTAGTCATCTCCCCCTACCCCCACCCTGACTTCAAGGTGAGCTGTGGACTGGCAGTTCTCGCTGCTTGGACGAGATGAGAAGAGCAGGGTGGCCTGCTGTATGGCCCGTCTGTCCTCTGGTGCAGGAGGCACACAACCCAGGACCGAGCCAGCCCCACGGACTCATGGGCTTGGCCATCTGTCCCAGCTGCTGGCAGAGCTGTATTCTAATCTTAGGAGAATCAGTTAATCTTTCTGGGCCTCTTCTCAAACAAGGAGATTCATCCTTGTCTGCCTGATGGTACAGGATGCATGAGGACTTGGCACGCTGCGTGTGTGGGGGGAGGGCTCTCCGGTTAGGGCTGAGGCTCCCCTCTGCGTTTCATCTCCCTCTCCCGGGGCTTCAGGCCCGCAGCCAGGTGAGTGTCTGATGCTGGCTGTGCAGTATCAACATGGAAAAGGGATGAGGCCCTTTCGCACAGAGCTGTTAGTGACTCTGTTGTCTGGTAGATAGAGAGCTTTCAGTTTTCAGAGCCAGGATCAAGAGCAGGAATGTTTTATTTGAAGGTAGCTGCCCAGAGTTGACATTACGAAAGAGTGAATTCTCAGTCTTCAGTTACTGGGAGGTGAGGCCTGTGGTTTGCAGTCTGCAGCCTTTAGCTCTCCTGCCAGCTGCACTCCCAGACGTCCATGGCAGTCAGTCACACGGTGGGCCTTGTGTTCTGGGCGCCCCCACATCTGGTTGTGTATCAGGGACACATTCATCCAATGGTAACAGAAAACGTGACTAACAGTGGCTCAAACTGTGAGCTGTTTGTTTTTTTTTCTTTTTTTAAAATAGCAAGAAATTCCAATGTTAGTGGCTGCTGATTAGTTCCTCTGTTCAGCGCTGCCCTCGGAGGCCCCAGGTTCTTCCAGAGTTCCCTGCATCCTTAGCTTCTAGGGTTTTCATCTTGCTTGTGGCCTCATGCTGGATGCTGCAGAAGCCATTTCATCACCTTTGGGTCTGCATTCAGGGCAGTAAGAAGAAGGGGGACGCGGAGCTGACCCTTCTGTCCCTTTCAGCAGGAAAAGCTCTTGCCTCCCCAGAACCTCCTAGATGTTCTATGTGCCAGGGCTCTGCAGCCCAGCTCCTCCCAGCTCCAAGGAGATCCTCATTCGCTGTCAAAGATACAAGTGGGACGGGGACTGGGGACAGGTTAGCCAACAGACACTGCCTGTTGCATCAGGACTTGTTGGGTGGAGGGAATGAAAAGGTCTGACGTTAGAGAAGAATCACCCAGTAAAGCAGGAAAAAGAAAGTTATGTTCAGCCAGGAGCCCTTGGTAAAACACCAAGCCAAGTGGACTGCTTTGTTTGATTCTTTTTTCCATGCTGGTTGCTTTCTTATCCTGTCTTATCCAGCTGGTTGCCACTCTGGCTTCCTTTCCAGTTGGCATAATTCTGTCAACTAACCCCTATTCTTACACTGATTAGTAAACACAAATGATTAGAAGGCCTGTAGGTAAATGAGAATATTGAGCTAACTTTTAGTTCAGAATTTGTGGATATTTTACCTTGTAGCCACTCATTTAATGTCTATGCTTTTTTATCAAAAACACTGACTTTTATCAAAAACACTGTTACTTAAACAGATTGGTCTCCTTGGAAGATGCATGTCACTTAATCCCAATGCAATATAGATAGATAAATCTCATGCACTCTCTCAGCTTTGTATCATATATTATAAACAACCAGCTAGAATGAATAGAGTAACTGGAGTGCCTGAGGAGAGGGCGAAACATGGGGTATTTTAGACCCCTGACTTGAGAATTTGCTCATTGCATGTTGGAAGTTTCTAGGCCTCATTTTCAGAATTCAGGGAACATAATCTCAGTGCCTTGCAGTATTTTGTGGGTTGCTGGTAACTGCAAGGTCTGAGAAGAATCTAAGATTGTGCTCTTTATTATCAGAGAGTGTTCTGTTAAGTAATGCTGGTCTGAGAGCTTGGAATTACTTATTCTGAGTAAGTTTCAGATATTTTCTTCTGATTTATGCCTTTTCAAAATAAACTAAAGCAAATTTCAGTAAAGCACAGTCAGAGTTTATGGTTTTTACTGTAGAGTAAATTTTGTGCATGTTTCCAGTATTTTTCTTTTCAGTTGCTTTTGTGTTCTGATGTGGCATTGTTATCAAAAGATTTGGAGTGGGCTGCATGTCTGGTAGACTTTGAGGCTCTTACTAAAGGCAGACAGGGTCGGCTCTGGTCCGTAGGAGTGCTGGTCTTATTTACTTGCCTGCTGGTCCCATAGGATCAAAAAATCTTTCCTGTACCCCTGCCCCCCCCCGCCCGAAGCCTTTAAACCTTTGAGAAGTAAAACAAAGAAGGAAAGGATCTGTGAAACTGGCAATTGATGAAATGTAAGTAGTTGAAAGTGGGATTTTTGAAAATTGTATAAGTATGAAAAGTTTTTAGAGAGACAAATATTAGAAGTGCCCATATGACAGTATCTCCACTCATCTCCCACCTCTTCCCTGGCTCCGAGAGTGCTGCTTTTCTTCATTTTCCTAGGGCACTTTCTGCTCACAAAATGTTTTTGATGTTTCCCTTGGGAAGATGAATTTGTTCCTCTGCTTGCTTGCTTATTTGCTCAAGTGATCTTCAAGAATGAAAATGCCAGGGCCAGAGTTCCCCTGGTGCTTGGCACAGAAATTCCCTTCTGCCTAGAGAGGAGTGAGAAGGGCCCTATCTGTGACCCAGCTTGCTCAGGAGTCTGAGCAGAATTAAGGAGCATCCCTGAATTGATGCAATGGTTTGTCCTGTTGTGTCTTTCTTTTGATTAGGCAAGCTCAGTGAAAGATTAGGTCCACTGAATCAAAGCAAGAATGTGGAAAAAATAATTTGTGAGAAAATGAAGAAGTTACAGTTGCTCAAAATTAAGCTCGTGGAAAAATAGCATTTTTCCCCCCCTCCCCATTAAAGAAGTCTGAAAGGTGGGCTTCTGCCTTCACCCTGCCTGCTCTGTGCCTTCAGCTCCATTCTGTATGGTGGGGGCCCAGGCGCTGTGTTTGGTGTCAGACTCAGGTTGTGTCTTCTGTTGCCCAGGTGGACACCTGTTAACGAGCTATTGGATTAGGATTGTGTGTGCAGGAACCTTCTTACCACCATCCCTTTCTTATTTGTTCCTTGTCTGTTGCCTTCAGCAAGTTAATTAGAACATCTATTAATTGTTAGCTGCTCTCAAAGGATGCAATAGGGACCTTGTATTTGGGGCTGTCGTATAGACTAGGAACTTCTTTCCTTTTGGTTTTTTGTTTCTTTTAACTTTCGTAGTTTTGTTTTCTTTTCATACCTTTATAAAAGTCTTTCATTTTTAAAACGAGAATCTTGTTTCTCTTAGATTCAGAATATTAAACAGACGAACAGTGCTCTAAAAGAAAAACTTGATGGTGGAATAGAACCATACCGACTTCCAGAGGTAAGATTATGTAAATATCATCTTTGAAGTTACACCCGAGTTTATCTGTTTAAGAATTTACTTGTTTAATTTACTTGTTTAAGAATTTACTTGTGTCTCCAGTACATATCTCCTAGAAGGAAGGGTATAGACATCATTTATTATAACCCTAGTTGATGTTAACATTCTGATAGAAGATTGATTAATCCTCATAAGGACATGCCTGTGCCTAAATGTAGTATGCTAACAGGACTCATTTGGATGTCCAGGTCATTCAGAAGTGCAACGCCCGCTGGACCACGGAAGAGCAGCTGCTCGCTGTACAAGGTAGGAAGCTTGTAAACAAGAAGCTCTGCTTGTAAACAGAGAGCTTAGGCAGAGCAGGCGCCTCAGGAGGGAGTTGTGCCCCAGCCTGCTCCCAGCACATCGCTCACCTTTTAACAGACTCCTGTGAGCTTATATTCTTCTAGCGGACATCATATTAGCTGAATTTCTGCATTCCCTTTGGGCTTTGCTTTTTTCCTTTTTTACATCTCACAAGATGTAAAAATTAATCTGGAAGTCTCGATGTCTAAAGGCATATTTCATTTTAGCAGCTGCTTGTTTGATTCTGAGTAGTCAGAAAGGGCAGATTGAGGGTTAGGTCTGTAAGGTTGGAGGTGTTCTAGTCCTGGGACCCTGGAAAGGCCAGTGTGGAATGTCCACAGCACAGGATAGCTGCTGGGTGACCTCAGCCATACCATGTGGTGTGTGGTGAGAAGGTGCAGACCCTACATGACAGGTCATGCAGACTGTGACTGATCTTGCACATGGACCGTGTGACCGGCCTCGCTCGTGGCCCATGTGACCGCTCTCACACACGGACCGTGTGACTACTTTTGCTCGCGGCCTGTGTGACCAGTCTCGCTCGTGGACTGGTCTTGCTTGCGGACCATGTGACCGGTCTCGCACGTGGACCGTGTGACCGATCTTGCACGCGGCCCGTGTGACCGGTCTCGCTCGTGGACTGCCGTGCTGCTCTTCCAGTTGGTTTCTACGCTAAGATAGTGTCTGCTGTTAGGAGGCCCCATGCTGCCTTATCTGGATCAGGGGTGAGTCTCAAGTGTGTGTGTGAGTGTGTGTTTTATTATTTTTCTCTTGTGTTGAAAAAGACACTTTCTTCCATCCTTAGCCATCAGGAAATACGGCCGAGATTTCCAGGCCATCTCAGATGTGATTGGGAACAAATCAGTGGTGCAAGTGAAAAACTTTTTTGTAAATTATCGACGCCGCTTCAACATAGATGAAGTTTTACAAGAATGGGAGGCAGAGCACGGGAAAGAAGAGAATGGTCCCAGTAACCAGAAACCTGTCAAGTCCCCAGACAGCTCCATCAAGGTGCCTGAGGAGGACGACGAGGTGAGTCTGAAGGAGCTGGTCTCTGCAGGATTCATGCTCGACCTCCAGTTACTGTCTTTCTTCACTGATGACCTTTTCCAGCTGTAGAAGTAGATTTAGGCTTCAGCTGTGTCAGTAATGACTCTCACCCATAAATGCTGTAGTATATGTTGACTTTAGTCACTTCTTGGTCACTGTGTACGTTATTCACATTTTAACTCCTGGACAAATTCTTAAGTCCACCCTGCTTTCTCTAGCCACAGAATATTTCACATTATCAGTATTTCCTTAAATACAGTAACCACTTGGCCCTAAGACAGTAAGTTAGAAGTGCCTTGAGGATCAGTCGTGTGAAGTGTATGTCATCCCCCTGTGAGGTGTGTGAGCTCACAGGGGCATCTGCAGGCTCCTGGCGTGTGTCTCCTGCCACACCTCCAGCCTGGCTGCTGTTGGGGGCCACCGGCTGAAGGACTGATGGGGACAAGTCTAGGTCCGGGGTTGCCTGGCATTTCCAGAGTGGAACTGACACTCCTGTGACCTCCTGGGTGGTGGCACTGAGTCTGCTGACCCAGCAGGCAGAGATTGAGGGGAGATTGCTGAGGCTGCAGGGGCTGTCTGCTGCCTGCCTACTTCCTGCATGCTCACCCTTCCCCACAGACAGTGCACAGGGCTAGGGGATGGGAGTACACAACATCCACTTTATTTTTGCACTTGTTCACTGACATAGTAGGCTTCCCTGGTGGCTCAGTTGGTAAAGAATCCACCTGCAATGCAGGAGACCTGGGTTTGATTTCTGGGTCAGGAAGATCCACTGGAGAAGGGATAGGCTACCCACTCCAGTATTCTTGGGCTTCCCTTGTGGCTCAACTGGTAAAGAATCCACCTGCAACGTGGGAGACATGGGTTTGATCCCTGGGTTCAGAAGATCCCCAGAGAAGGGAAAGGCCACCCTCTCCAGTATTCTGGCCTGGAGAATTCTAATGTGAGGATTAATTTACTCATCACTTTATCATCAAAATCTTCCCCAAATGAGGCAGGAAGGACTTGAAGTTACTTCTTTTGTGTTGTTCTGTGACTCTTTGCTCCCAGAGCCTGGCTGCAGAACTTGGAGGCCCCCAACCTGTGTGTGCATGAGCCTTGTGAGGAGGGTGCCCTGAGAGCACAGCTCCGCCAGCCACCCCCAACCCCCGCGTCCATGTGCCAGTTTGAGAAAGGGCCTTGAGGCATCTACACCTGTCAGAAGACGTAGTTTTAAAAGCATACTAATTTTATTAGACTGTTTAGATTTTGCTACCAGAAAATATTTGCAGTTGTGTGCACAGTCTCTAGTACTGGCAGTGTAGGTGGTTCCTTGACTCACACCCGCCCAGCCCAGCCTGCCCACGAACAGGACAGCATAGGAGCAAAAGATGTGTTTTTATCTTGGGGCAGTGACTTTGTCTGACAGCTAGTTGCCCTGTTAACAACAGATTACCTTCCCTGAAGTCCTGGACTCAGTTCAGGAAGCATTGAGAACATGAGGATTACTGGGGAAGGGCCATTAGAACTTGGAGAATGAAAGCTTTCTTCCAGATCTGTTTTCTGACTTAAGGCTCGTGAAGCAGAAATGAGAGGAAGCTCAGATCTCTTCCCTCTTCAGGTTTCATCATAGCCGGCCCCAACAGAGTTAGCATGAAAAATGGGATCGCAGGCTGAGGACCCAGAGTCGTCATCATTCATGATCCGTTGATGTGGCTTAATCTGTCAGCTGACGTTTCCTCCTGTCTTGCTAGCTCAGAAGGCCTGTCCTTCCTTTTCTTTAGTCCCTTTCTTCTTATGCTTCTTAAGGCACCAGGCCTCCTGCTTTGCCGCCTTGGTTTTCCAGTCTCTGTATGTTAGCCCGCAGAAGGAAATTAATCTTTAAGGACCAGCTGCTTCTCTGTGTCCACCAAGGGCCTAAGGGAACTGGCTAATTGTCTGTCTGATCAGTGCTCAGAACTTAGTGTGTTTGTAATTTCTCCATTTCTGTGGAGTCCAGCAGCTAAGAAAGATGTCTGCTGGAGTCCAGCCTGCCCGAGGGTCTTACCTGTTTATGCAGTGCAGACAGATTTGAAAAGTTCATGGCTGTCTGTTAGCTATGGGCTTTCTTCCTTTGGAGCTGAGGAGGCAGAGTAGCCCGCAAGGGTTAAGCGTGTGAGACTCAGGGCTCTCTGGGGAGGGGCGGGCACAAATGGGGTCTGGGGAGGTGTCAGAAAGGCATGGAATGACGCTGAAGGTGACTGGTTTGAAGGTAAACATTCTCACTTAAAAGTGTAGAGAGATTGAGTGTATTACTATTAAGGAGAAATTGATTTCATTAATAACAATTCTCATAAATTGGGATTTCACCTGAAGGCACAGCTGTTTTCAGATTTTGGACTCTAAGCTTGGCTATTTCCTTAGAAATAAGACACCACGGGGGAGCAGCAAGCTCTGAGACCCTTGATGATCTTGAGGCCTAGGTTCAGCAGTCAGTCTTTAAAAATAAGAGTAGAGAATTAGAAAGGCCTGTGAAGTTTAGAAGATCCTGCGATCTTTATGTTGTGGCTGTCTGCTGAACAGGGTGGGTGCCACACATCCCCGCCAGTGGGTGCTGGGACTCCCAGCAGTGCGCCTGCAGGCCCTGTGAGGTGGGCCGCAGTGTTGGGTACCTTCAGCTGACAAGGACCCTGATGACTGGCCCCGGACACACAGCTGGAAGGGCAGAGTGGGGCCTGGAGGTCCAGGCATGTGGCCATGGAGGCCTACCCACCTGCTCACGCGGCCTGGTGCAGCCTCCACCTCCGCGCCCTGGCCTGGGAGCCGCGGGGCCGCTCCAGACCAGAGTCAGCAGTGCGTCCCGGTGACCGGTCTGTGCTTCTGTCTCCTCCTTGCTCAGGCTGCTTCTGTCCTTGACGTCAGATACGCGTCTGCCTCCTGAGACGCTCTGGTGGCCTGAGCGCTTGGTGTGGACGCCTGCATTTTCCAGGATTCAGGTACCTCCAGACTTCACCCAGCCATCCGCATCACAGCTCTGTGGACAAGCAGCTATTACCAAAAAGGCACACACTCGCAGTCCTGGGCTACACCTGCCTTAATTCTCCGCTCGTTCCTCGTGTGGAGCCGCTTCCCCGAGAGTTCTCTGTGTCTCTCGCTCTGCCTCAGTGTGGGGATCCTGTGGCCTGCACGCTCCTGCGACACCGGGCCCGCCACCCCCACGGAGCCCCGGCCCACCTACGGCAGCTCTTCCCCGTTGGCGGCTTTGGAACAAGGAGTCAGTCAGAGGTGCGACTCTGTTCCTGCATGGCCTGCAGTCCCTACTTTGTGCATAATGTACTTTTCAGAATAACTGACCTGTTGGCCTTCTGGGAAGTTTCCTTTGTTCTTTTTTGAGGCATCCACCTAAGTGATATCATGCTTCTTCGGAAATCCTGCATATTGGCGACTGCGTCATAACCTTTAACGTGCCAAACAGCTTGATACAACTCCCCTTTCCCTCAATGTAGGTATAATTATGGTCTATAAATTCACTTGGCTTAAATCTCTCCCCTCTCCTGCCCACGTGGTGGAAAGCTCATTCTCTGCACTGTCCTTGGAGGATCGTGGACCCCAGCACTCGCTGCCTTCAGCATCGTCACCCCAGGACGGGCACCACCCCGTCTCTCCTTCCCCTGCCCGCCCCCAACTCCCAGAGTGTCCGTACACGGTACCTGGTGCTTGTACATTGGGAATTGGTGCCTTCTCCTTTCGGCAACCATGTTTTCAACCCTCTTTTCTGTTTCAGTGTCTTAATTCTTCTTTAAAGTTGATTGCTTGCCAAAGATGACATCACTGAGATGAGGAGATGGGGAGGCCTTGCTGCAGGTGCTTGACAGAGTGCAGACACTCGATGTCACGGTGGGTGGTAATAAAGGGCATGAGGCTGGCTGGCAATGGTCTTCTCAAAGCTCCGTGCTCTTTGAGCGCTGTCCTCTTGGTACGCCTGGCCTCTTGCCCGTCTCTCCACGCAGCCTCTTGTCTGTCACGTGCTGGCCATGCAGGCATCCCCCCTTCAATATTACAGAACAGGCAGGGATGTGCTCGGTCACTGGTTCTAGTGAGTTCAGGTGGGAAGAAACCATCTGCAAAGGGGTATGTGATGCCTTTTGGTTGGGCTGGGAACAAGTACAGACATTTAACAAATGTTCTAAAACTTGCAGAATCACTTTTATTCTCTTGCCAGACCGTGGGCCTGTGGAGGGGCTGAGGGTGGACTGTGCCATGCCTCCTGGTGTGCCCCGTTCCCTGGCCCGTGGTTGGTTCAGTCTGCACTAAATAAGTGGAAGGAGCTTTTTTGTTGTTGGTTTTTGCATCAATGAAGTATTTTTTGTGCTTTCAATACCAAAAAGAAAAAAATTCCAGATGCTTTAAGGCATAAACAATTCTTAAGAATTTGAAATATGCAATTAAAATTTGTTGTTTTGACTCCCACACACCTTGCTTTTTTTTTTCCCCTCGCTTTTTTTTTTTCTCTCTCTTTTTTTTTTTTTTTTAAAGTCAGCTGATTTTCTCTTTAGGAAGAAGGTCAGCAAGACACCTAGAATGTTTGGAATTGTACTTCTTTTTTTGAAATCTGGAGAAAGGTTATCAGGAGGGGAGTGATTCGGGCCTTTTCTGGTGCCCATCCCCTGTCCCTGCACGCAGTGTCTGTGGGTCACGTGAGGGCTGGTGAGGAAGAGCCTCCAAGGAGCTGGGCGCCCCTGCCGCTCCTGCCAGGCGGGCAGCAGTCACAGCGGTCACTCTGCAGGGCCCATTCTGTCTTTGTCCTGAGCCTGCCGCCTAATTGGAACATGGCAGGAAAACACGGGCAAGAGGTGGCAGGAGTTTTGCACGTTGCCGAAAGAGGATGGCAGGCGTGAAGAGGCTTCTGCTGCGTCTGGCCTCTTCTCTAGACCTCCTTCCTCGTTAGAGAAGCAGTGGGCACCTTGCTGCAGCGCTCTCTCTGCCAGCCGTGCTTCCTCTCTTCACCCCCAGGCTCTTTCCCTCGAGAGTCGATCCCGCTTGGCAGTGCTTCCGGGCTGGTGCTGGTCTGTGCTGCGCAGCAGGCACACCAGCAGGGCCAGGCCCGTCTGTGCTCAGACGTCCCCTGACCTGGCTCCTGGCAGCAGGTGGTCTCCAGTCCCGAAGAGTCACGGTGCTGGTGTACTTGCCATCACGGCCACTGAGTTTTGGCTTTCTCGCCTTGGGAAAGGGGTGTGTTATTTTCATTTGCTAGAAGGATAAAAGGTAGTTGTCTTTGCCTGACTGCCTTCGTTGTAGTTTCATGCATAAGATAGCACTGTGTTTTAAACTGTTTCATTACACTGTCTTTGCAATGATGTTGTAAATGCAAGAAATCACTTCCCTTTAGAAGCGAAGTGGTTTGGTGTTATTTATGGGACGACCCTTTTTAACATACCAAGACTTGGGTGCGTCAGCAGGTTGTGTTTGGATGTGTAAGGGTCCATGATGACAGCTGCTTCAGATGCAGTGTTCACTTAAGCTTTGTCTTCTTAAAAATTAGCAATGTGAATGTCATAATTATATATATTTTTTGTGGAAAATTTCTCCTAAGTTATTGTGCAAAATATAGTACCATTGAAGCAAATGATAGTTTACCTTTTAGTTTAGAAATCCTGAAAGATATAAATTGTATTGCATATGCATTAAAAGTTTGTTTTATTTAATTTTATGTAGATGTGTAAAGTGTTAGGTAAACATTTTTTCACTTACTCATTTGAACACCTTGTTACTTGAATATTGTTTTGACTGGTCTGAAACAGTGATGGATTCTGTAGGATCACTCCGTGAGCAGGAAGCAGCCCCACCTGCTCTTGCTGAGCGGGGAGCCGTGGGGAGGCAGCGCCCAAGTCGGCCGGACCCTGAGGTTAGTGTAAACCGCCTGCCTCCCCGTGTCATCTCCGTGCATCCGTGCCTACCAGACATCATCAGTTCCTCAAGATGGCTTTGGATAGTTTTTAACCTGCCAGATCCTTTGGTGGTCGTAAACCTCTGATCAAAAAATGAGAAAGAAAAAGTAGTTGAGTTTGAAAAGCTTGCTGTTACCACACACCACTCTAAGTGTGCTCGTTGTCACTTTAATTTCAACTATGCCCTATTTTTGTCTTTCTGATTATCAGATTGTACTATTGGTATAATTGCATACCAAAAATAAGCCAAATAGTGCATTACACTAACTGGATCCCTGCTTATATGAGCAAAGGTCGGATGGAGCCAGCTCACCCGAGAGCCTCGTGTTTCTTGTCTAGCCTGATCTAAACTGAGTGACCCCGGATTCAAGCTTGTGATATCAAGTAAGACTTTATCTCAAGTTGACTTGAGGTGGTTAGCTAATTTGAATCTAGTGATCTTGTGCAATGCTCAAAACAAATCCTCTTTCTGCCACTCCCCGGATCTCTGCAGCTTTTCCTTCTTATAGTGAAGCACAATTGCAGTAACGTTACAGTCCAGCGAAGGAAGGTCAGTACAGCCTATGCATGTTGTATGATAATGAGTGTTTACAGCCCTTCTCCTGAACTCAAGTCTGTCCTGGAGCAGGTGGTATTCCATTACGTAGACTTACCAACTTTGCTAAGTGCTTTTTAGATTGCTTAACAATTTTTTCAAGATTTTAAAAGATGTATAAGGTTAAGTTTGCAAATATAATGGAAATGCTGTATATCTTTTGAAGTGATAAAAATCCATGTTGGAATTTTAAAGAAAATATGTTGTAATAATGCTGTTGTAAGTAATATTTTAATGTCTCTTTTTGCCTGTTTTCTATTTCAGCACATTCATTGTGGTGAATGTTCATAGCATTATAATTGCTTAGCCATTGAATGATAACATTTGTTAGTAGAGACTGAAAATTTTATTTGTGAAACTCTGCAGAATTCATTTTTCTATTTCCAATATTTGCTGAAGTTAAATAAAAATTTTCAAGCCATTGATGTAATAAAATATGAAACAAAAGACTGTTCTGACCCACCAGGCCCCATCAAAGCAGCACCCCACCCTGACTGACACCAAGTGGGTTTTCCCTGCCTCTTGCCCGGGGCCTTTGGGTTTCTGAAAGCATCCGTTCCCCAGCACTGCACGCTGTGGGAGCACACAGCCAGCGGTGCTTTTGTTTTTAACCATTAGATCTACCTGAACTACATTTTTTATTTTATAATATATGATGATATTATGGTTGGGATCAAATCAATGGACATGAATTCGTTATGTTTGTGATAGTTGAGAACTTAAGTGTGTAGGTTTGATTAGAGGAATTTTTTTCCTGTTGGTGGTTTTTCTCTTCTTGGCTCCACTGGGCTTTGACTCCTGGCTGCCAGCCTCAGCACAGACTCGGGACTATGACAGAGAAGAGGCGAGATGACTGCTTTTGTTGCCTCTGGTCAGCCCAGTGGACACAGCCCAGATCTCAGCACCTCACTGAGTCACATGAGGACTCTGTGAATGCCCCGTGGCCGTCTCTGTGGTCCTTTCTAGCCAGAATGTAGGATTTGGTTAGATAATGCTTGTATAAAAATCAGCCTTGCCTCACACAACATGTAAAACACGTGGGTCGGCTTGCTCTGTGTGGTGACTTCCCTTAGTGAATGGGGTTTGCGTGATGCTGCCAGGGGGTGGCCCCTGGGAAAGGAGCTCAGAGGCTCAGAGACCTCAGCCCGTGTCTCTGGAGGCGACTCTGGTCCAGACCCAGAGGGAGCCAGTGCCAAGGCCAGAACCTGGGCTTTCCTCCAGGAGACGGAGGGAGACCAAGAGGGTGTGCGGGCGGGGACAGAGGAGGCCACGTTGGCTGCTGGGGTGGGCCCGGTGAGGGCTGCTTGGGCTTCTGATGAAGTTCCCGCCCCTCACTGCGGTCTCTAAGTTCTCCTCCTCCGCGTATGACACTGCTGTGTCCAGGCTCATCGAACTAGAAACACGGTGTCGCCTGCCTCTGACCCCCGCTCTAGGGCCTTCCTCCATTACTACGTCCAGTGACAGCTCAGGCCCCTCCCAGTGTCCTGAGCTGATGCTCTCGCTCCGAATTCATCTTGACCCTGACATGCCTCTTTTCCTGCTTGCTCTCACCGCACATCTCCCAGCCCAAATCAGGGCCCTTTGCTGCTCAAAACGCTCCCTCTGCCTTCCAGAAAAGCCCTTCATTCTGTCTTAAGCCACATCACATGCCTACTGCAGGGCCAATCTCCGTGCTTTTCTCGAAAACGACGCCACACCCCCCTGCAGGGCCCTGAAGTCCTGACCCGCAGCTCAGGCCTCCACCTTCAGCAGAGGAGCCAGTCTCAGGGCCTCTGCCGCTTGCACGTCTCTGCACTTGCTCTTCATAGTGTACCACAGAGAAGCGGCTTTACATTTCCTCTTCTTTTGGGTAGCTGAATGGGTAACCAGCGTGCTTGTTAGAAAAGGCAGACAGTGGGACGTGAGCTCCCCGCCTGTGGCCTCCGGCCACTCGCCCCTTCAGGGAGCCGCGGCTCTGGCGCCTCCTTTGAGAGCGTGTCAGCAGGTGTACAAGCACGCATGCTCACTTGCGCGTGTCACATGCTCAGGTCTCCATGCAGATAACGTGCAGTTGCTTCTCATCAGTATGTGGGGGATTGGTTCTCGGACCCCGCAGATGCCAGCACACAGGGCACAGTCAGGTCTCCCTGGCCACGGGCTCCCCGTCCACAGGTGCAGGGGCCGGCTGCACTGTGTATACTGTTCTTACCTTGCACAGCGGTGCCTTAGTCTTCTAGACCAACCCATGGATAGGAAGTTGCTTCATTCCCTTGCACTGGTTTCATGGTATCCAGTTACGACAGTTAACTGTTTATTTAAACTGTGTCATTTGATAGTGAAGAATCATGTAATATCAGCAGAGTGGAGCCAGCCTATGTCATTTTGCCTACAGGCAAGTGTAGTTGTGGGGATAAATATCTAAGATTGGAACTTGAGTCCAGAAATCGGATCACTCTGACACTTGACACGTAATGCTGTGTTTCTCTCAGAGGGGTTGTACCAGTCTCTTTCCATCGGCCGTGAATGAGGCAGCCTGTTACCCTGTGCCCTTCCTAACACTGTGATAATTAAACGTTTTGATCCGAGGTGTTTTATAAGCTTTTCATGAGATCCAAGGCTGTCATAGTCATCTCTGTGTCCACAACTGGCGATAATAGGCTCGTGGAATAAAGAGCTGGAAGGTCAGCACGTTGAAGAAGAAGAATGAGCACCTGCCAGCTCTTTTGTGCAGGATGAAAGGCCCCATTGTGGTGGCCACCCCCGGAGGGGAGGGGAACTCAGCGGCCGCTGGTTCCTGGGCATCCAGAGACGGAAGAGCTGAGGTTTGGGGTTTTCCAGACACTTTGCTTCTTTCTGAAGCTATTTGCTTTTTTTTTTAATTGCCCAAGGACTGGGGAAAAAATGAATTGGAATTAAAGCTCTGGTGCTGGTACATTAGGAATGAGGTTGGAGAGCGCTCTGTGCAGCCTGATTTTTGGTTCTATGTCGCTGCCCTGCCCCCATAAGGTGCCACACGTGCTGTGCCAGCTGACCAAGGTCCTGGCCGGAGATGCTGCACAGACACCTTCCAGCCGAGACGCCGCAGGCAGTGCTTCTCAGACCTAAGTGAGCCGTGGGGAGAGATGGTCCCACCTGGGGCATTGTTGGAAGGCATCCCTGAGGAGGTGACAGTTGAAGAAGGAGTGACAGCTAGCCTGGCATCCCCGCAGACCCATGGTTTATGTGGGACGTGCCTGTTTCCTCGCCACCCCCTGAAGGGTGTTGGAACTTCCTGTGGCTCCATGGTGATCCCTGTGTCAGTCTGGGTCCCCACCCAAGGCCGAGGCTGGTAAATGGGCGATGCTGCTTGGAGACTGGGAGCAGTCAAGTCACCTGCAGGCACCGCACACAGACTCCCTCCTGCAGGCCTCCCTGTGGCTGTCAGGGTTAGAGGGCAGGAGGTAGGGCTGAACGCTGCCTCGTGACTCTCCAGCTGTGGTTTCTGTCTGGGATTCCCCAGCCTCGGGGCTGGGCAGCTGCTGGTGACCCCTGACCTCAGGCCAACGTCCTGCCCGAGGACAGGTGTTGCTGGAGGGGGCTCCTTGTCCTCCTGCTAAGATTCTTTCATGGAATGAAGTTATTTGGTGGATGGTGGCTCGTGACACTTAACTGATTGAAAAGTAAATCTAGCAGCAGTTAGCTCTTATATTCCACATAATCATGAATAGGAAGTTATTTGTGGTTTTTAGTATTAATTGCTTGATTTGTTGAAGATGGTCTTGGCCTCCAAGGACCAAACATGTCTTGTTTGATGTAATGCACATGGCAGCCTCATGCAAAGGGCCTACCATCCTGGTCTTAGGGGAGACCGAGACTAGGAGAAGAATGCCTTCCCAAGTTAGACGAGTAGAAGGGGCCTCAGTCGGGGCTGGACGTGCCAGAGGCTCTGCTGTCCTGTGTGGCCGCCTCCTCAGGCCCTGGACACGGCCTCAGTCGCTCCCTCAGCCACCTCATCTTTGAAGCAGGGACGATAGCCGTCTGACTTACCCAAGGCAGAGCCCAGAGACGGCTCGGTCCAGCTCAGGGGCCTGCAGAGAGGAGATGCCCGACAGAAGGCTCACCCTTCCCTTCCACAGAGACCCGTTTTCTCAGGAGTATGTGTCGCCTCATCTCCTGCGAGCAGGGGATAAATCAAGTTTTTCACAGTTCATGGGCCTTCAGCCAGATCCCTTGTTTCTCTTCCCAAATCCCCATCTCCAGTCCTGCCCCCAGACCAGTGGCGCTCCAGTGGTTTTGGTGGCATGCTCTTATCAGATGGGAATTTACTGACGAGGCGCCTCCATGTTCATGTACTCATTTGTAGCATTTGTACGGGCAGTGCCTATAATTAGTATGTTCAGAATTAGAAAAGACCCCGAAGCCACTTCCTCCTGTACCCTATATTCTAGACAGCTAACTGACCCTGATGGTGCCTGGCCGTCCCTGCTCCGAGGCTCGGGAGCACTGCGCTGTGAAGGAGGTGCACCCCGTCCCCCGCCCCCGTGTCTGCGGGAGCCGAGGCCGGAGCGCTGCCGTGACGTGCACAGGGTCACTCAGCTGGCAGCTGGTGGGCGCGCCTTGAGACAGCTCCTCGCCAGGCCTCCCGCTGTGGCCGCTGCCGAGTGGCCGAACTGCTGTGCAGAAGGTGAGGGATCCTCTTCAGTTTGGCTGCTCCCAAGGCCGGGCCCATTCTGAGCTCCCCCGTTGCCAACGAGCATGGTCCAGCTCCCAATCTTGAGTCCAGGCCCCAGGGCCAGTGCTAGAGTGTCCTTTCCCGCCTTCAACCTCTGCTGATGCTGGCCGTGGACACTCTTCCTGCAAGGGAACTCATGTCTCTGGGGCTGCTTGTCTAGGACGGACCCTGATTTCCTCGTTGCTGCCATCGCAACAGTTGGTTTCAGATGCCCTGCTGGTCACCGTGCACCTGCCCCTGAACCTGGATAGTGCCCAGGGCTGACTGGACCTGGTGTCCAGTTTCCCTCCTCAGCTAAGGCCTGGGCACCCCCATCTCCCACGGCACCAGGCTGTCCAGAGAGGACTCTGGAAATTTCCCCACCTTGTCCCATTTCAGGCTGCCCAGCCACTGAGGTCCCCCAGGTCCTTCCCGGGGGGTGATCTTTGGCTCCTCTGCAGCCCGGGGCTCTGGGCTCAGGGCCTGGTGGTGCCTGGTAAGTCCTGCCCAGCAGCACCGTGAGGCCCGGGCTTCCGTCAGCGCTCTTCACAGCAGCACTGGGACGTAATTCTGCCCTTCTCTGGCCCTGACCACAGAGGTGGCCCTGATGACCCCTTTCCTCTGACATCGCTGGTAGGAAAGATTCTTGGAGGAGTGGCCCCAGTGAGTCACACCTCTGAGTATCCTCATCACACACTGTCACTCACCCCAACTCTTAGTCGTGGACTTGCTTCACCCCGCAGAACCTTAGCAGTCACAACAGGAAGGTCAGCCTGTG